CGTCACAAGCCGCCCTGGTTTCCAAGCTCGGGGCACAAAGGGCTCGCTGCTCCACAGCCAGCTTGTTACGCCGCGGTGACTGCGTACAGCCCGCAGAGCCGCTAGTTAGGGAGACGCAGGGCCTCGGCTCCCAAATAAACCGAAACTCTGCAAAGCATTGGAGCTCAAGCTCACCAGATCAAGATGTTCAGGGGGCTCTGAGTTTGAGTTAAGGCTGAGGATAAGGCGGTGGGGGCGGGCGCCCTGAAATAACCCCAGGATCAACCTCTGAATTTGGCAAACGTCTGGGCAGGCTGGATGAACTTGAACATCTTGATCCCGGGGCTGCTGTGTGCTGAGGTCCACAAAGTTTAATTACGATAGCAACTAAATTCCCATTGACAGGATATATAATATTTCAGACTAGGTAAGATATTGGGGCAAGACAAATTCAACACTTCAGTAAATATTTGTAAGGTCAGATGATTGACCACACAGAATTATTCGAAGCTTGGAAAAACGGGCTAGAAGGTAGGATGAAGACTAAGGGGAAGGAAAGAAAAGTAGTTTTTCATTACAGTGCTAGAGACTGGATGAATGTGTCAGGGTATCCCGGAGCGGGCCCTGGGAGTTCACAACTTACCCTTTAAGCCTTTAGTATCAATGTCTCATAGCAGCTGTTTCCAACCGGTAAAGAAATGCTGGAAACTCGATAATCCAAAAGTAATTTATTGGGACTTCCTCAGTTTCTTTTATGATAGAAGAAGATGGAATGGGACTTGATCTCAGAATATGTTTTCTCTGAAGGACTTATCACATGATGAATACATTTTTTTATAGTAAATTAGAGCTAACAACTCAGTTAACCTTCAAATTACTTGACACACAAATTTATATTCTTTCTTCTTCTTTTTTTTTTTTTTTTTTTTTTTTTTTTTTTTTTTTTGGTACCGCAGATGGAACTTGGGACCTTGTGCTTATGAACACAAATTTATATTCTAATTCTTCAGGAAGAGCATACTTTTGTAAATCAAAAAAACAAATATGTTAAGGACAGCAGTAAAATTCCTAAACTAGAAACGGGAAATAGAACTTTACAGCAAGGAAGCTGATTCAAACTTGCTTTTTTTCCTCCTTTTTTCATTACAGTGCTGGGGATTAAACCCAGGGTCTCAAACATGCTAGCCAAATGCTCTACCACCAGGTGACCTCCTCAGCCCTTTTTTCTGCTACTTTAAAAAAATAATTTACTAAGTAGTCCGTGTTGGCCTCAAGATTGTGGGCCTTCTACCCCAGTCTCCCTAGTAGCTAGGATTCCAGATGTGCACCACCCGGCTCTGCTAGGCTTGGCATGGTTTTAAAATCGTGTACTATCTGATGAGGCCCTAGTTTCGATAAATACCCAAAAAAGAAAAAAAAACATACCCAAGAAACACCAGGTTATGCATTCATTCTAGTCTGGCGGTAATCAACATAGCCCAAAAGTTTACAAAGATGTATCTCCAAAACTCATACTCAAGACAAGGTAAAATGAAATGAGGAGAGACACGTTAAACTGGAGGTGAAGGGATGAAGTCTAAAAATGCAAGTTACACTTTTTTTAACTTAAGGAGCTTTGGAAAAATTTGGTAATATTGAAGATAATTAATGATAGTCCTCCTTTACCACCTAGCAATTCAATTCCAGGTGTATAATAAAAAATTCCACACAGGTACACAAACAGTGTGTACCAAAATGTTCACTGCAGAATTGTTGGTGAGAACTGAAAATTGGTAACAATCTGTCCCTCAATGTGGAAATGATAAGATAAATGGGCAGATCAATAAGTAGAATGAGCTGGGGATTTAGCTCAGTGCTTCTGCTGCCTGCCTTGCAAGCGCAAGGACTGGGGTTCAATCCCTGGTAAAAAAAAAAAAAAAAAAAAAAAAAAAAAAAAAAAAAAAAAGTGGAATGCTTAGATCTGATAGATTCTATAGCAAAATAAAGATGACAGGGCCGGGGATTTAGCTCAGTGGTTCTGGTGACAGTCCAGTAAGCGCAGGGACCTGAGTTTGATCCCCGGTATCCCCCAAAAAATAAATAAATAAAAATATAAAGATGGCAGACTGAACATATGCATCTACTTTTGCATACACTTGGCAGACAACAGGAGCTAAGGAGTTCAGAAATTCAACAGCAGCTTCTGGAGCCAACCTGCATTTCTTGTTAGTTTGTAAAACTGTTCTGCCTGTTCTCTCTCATTGTTCTTATTTCTATTCTGCTTCGGATGGTTTGTGTTGCTCCGTGATTTCTACTGGTTTTTTGGGGGGGTTTTTTTTGTTTTGTTTTGTTTTTTTGAGACAGGGTCTCACTATGTAGTTGAGACTGACCTGGAACTCACTATGTAGCTCGGGCTGGTCTTGAACTCATAGTGATCCTCCTGCCTCAGCCTCCCAAGTGCTGGGATTACATCTACTGGTTTCTCTCTGTATGTCGTCTTATCATTCAAATTTTACTCAAAAATTGTTCCCAGCAGGCCTTCTTATTGCTTTTTTTAATCACAAGAATGACAGACAATATTCAGATACATGTATAGATATATATCCCTATATCTCAATCACTTATCACAATGTAAGTTATCTTGAGATTAGTGTTTACCTTTCCTAATGTCCATCTTTTACACTAGAATGGTGGCCCTAGGAGAGCAAAGCCACAGTTTATCTTATCTATTGTCATATTTGCACTGTCCGGAATAGTGCCTAGGATGTGAAAGTACTCAATAAATGAATTCATAAGCCAACCCAATTAGTTTCTGAAACTTTGCCAGTCTCCCATAGGAGCTCCCAGCCAGAGGTTGTATTAGCTGATCACTACAGAGTACTCTATTGTGAATTGTCCTAGCCCTGGTCATTTCCTTGGCCACTGGCCGTCCCACTTGTTATCTTCAGGCTTATCTTAGCTACAGGATGTTGATAGAATTGCATAGCACCTTGGAACATATATCTCGAGGATACAAAATAGTTACAGAGATGTGATATTATTACGAAGTAGCTAACACAGTCCCTTTCTGATATGTAGCATAACATTAGGATCCTCCAAGTCTCCTGTGTCTGTCTTGAGATCCCATTCATTCTTCCGTTTAACACTACAGCAATATTCTTAGAGATTATCTGGATTTTCCTAGTGGAAAGTCACTTCTTTTGTTTACCTATCTATCGATCGATCTCAGTTGTAGTGTTAGGGATAGAACCCAGGGCCCTGCACATGCTAGGCAGACACTCTGTCATTGAGCTACATCCCCATCCCTGCTTCTCTCTTTCATGCATCTGTATAAACACGTAGGCACTTATGCTCTGACACCCACATTGTATATTTACATCGATGTAAGTGACTGGCAAAAAATCATTGTAACGTTTCACAATAAGCATTTTGTATAAGGTAATGAAAGGATTACTGAATATAAATCCTGGGGCTCTGGTCATAAATGTTTTAATTACAACGGAGTTAGATTTAGTTACCAGAGTAACAAGATGAAGAATTTGCCGAAGAAAATAGTCTATGCAATACGATTGTGTAGGCATGTCCAACAGCTAGCTCATCCACCCAGTTGAAAACATGTTTAAAGCGAAATCACTCATACACACCTAACAGAAAAACCAGAGTTAGTTAATGTCATTGCAAAGTGAATTGAAACTTCAGGAATTCAAGACATTTGTAATACTAGACATTCAAGGACAACACTGCTCTGCCCTTTCCCGACCAAAAAAATACAAAGTATCCCTATGTACTTAGATTTCAGAGATGCTATATGAAAATAAGGCTGCACCTGTTCTGCACTTTATAACTTTAAGATAGCCTAGGGGAACTGGTTATAAAACTGCTGCAACAACCTCATTAAACACCTACGGCAGGCCGTGCTACTTCTGTGTGTGAGCTCAGTTTTAAGATCTAATATTTAACTCTATGTAACATGTCTGTTGGTACCTGTTCTAGCTCTCCTCTCATACTGAGATTATAAGTGTACTTCATACATTACCTGCTCAGAGCAGGCACTAATCCACCTGCACTCCCTCCTGAGGATTGAACCCAAGGTCATGCCTACACGCTACCCCTAAGTTATACCCTTAAAACCCTCCCAAGTAGCTGTGATTATAAGTGTGAGCACCTGGCTCTGAGAGCAGGGATTCTATCATTTGCCTCTTAAAATCCTCCACAATCTTAGGTTAGTGTCTTATATATTGTAAATTACAATTATGGGTTTAACTGAATAAGGAAACAAACTGTCACTAATTTTCTTCATATAAAACATGATAGACAAGGGAGGAGAGGTCAGACCTATAATCCCAGTGCTCAGAAAGCTGAGGCAGGAGAAACACAAGTTGGAGGCCACCCTGGGCAAGTGAGCTGGGACTTTCTCAAAGAAATAAAATATATGCAAATAAAAAGTAGACAAAATATGCAGGCGTGGAAACTTTTTAAAAGATCATTACATGAGTAATGAAAGAACATATACCTTACCAAAGGAACAGGAATAAACAGATTAATAAAAAAGAAAGATCCAAAAATATATGAGATATCTGCTGTGTCATGAAAGTAAATTTGTGTGTGAGCGCTAGACTCTCTCTACGTTGCCTAGGCTGGCCTTGAACACTGGGGTTAAAGTGATCTTCCTGCCTTAACCTTCCCAGTAGCTACAACTACAGGCTTACATCACTGTGCCTGGCACATTAAAGGTAATATTTTAAACTAGGGGTGAGGAGAAGTGGATTATTCAAAAATAATGTTGAGATATTATTTTTCACATAATTTAATAAAGTTGGTGTAGCAGTCCTTATTATTTAAAAATGGTAATGATAAAAAGCTCACAAGTGCTGATCTATTTTCCATCATAGTTTTACTTATCAGTGGCAAAAATATCACTTTTTTTTTTTCTTTTTGAGACAGGGTCTCACTATGTAGTTGAGACTGATCTGGAACTCACTATGTAGCCCAGGTTGGTCTCGAGCTCACAGCGATCCTCCTGCCTCAGCCTCCGGAGTGCTGGGATTACAGGCTTGTGCCACCATGCCTGGCCCAAAAATATCACTTTAAAGATTAAAAAAAAAAAAAATCAGGGATTTATCTTACTTAAATCCTGGGGATTTCAACCCACTTTTCCCAAAGTTTAGCTGATGATTAGCATTTCGTGGGTATGAATAATTATTTATTAAATGATAAAATAAGCAACAGGATAAATATGTACTGCACTGTAGTTTAAAACAATTTTTTCAGACTCCACATATACCAAATTGAATAATGTTTCTATTTTTTTACTATTCCAGCCTTTTCCCATAGTCACTTAATCATTGTAACACCAATTCCTAAGATAAACTTTTAATATCTTCATTTCCATGCCTACTTGTAATGAACATTTTAAGCAATATTTCCATATTTTGGAGAAAATTTCAG